AAATCGTGAATTGATTGTTTTTCACCAGCTATTCAATCCTTCCAACGAATTCTAAGCAACCGTTTAAATTGTGCTTTATAACTTCTTTGTGAAATCGTCTTGGTAGTTCTACTAACAATTTCTTGTGATGAAATACACGCGTCAAGAACTGGTTGGACAGGCAATCTGTTTCTACGCACCTCCCGAACGGCATAGTCTGGATATAATAGCCTATGTATGTGTCAGGTGATATTCTTCAGTGACTGACATCGGTTAGAGAAGTATTGAGAACCTGGTATCACTCGACAGCTGTTTCGTCCTAGTATGAGATTCCTCATGGTAGCGTGCTCTTAGGGAAATCTGAAGGTTCTGATTTCGACCATCGGCGGGGTAGTTGGTACGCACTCCTGAGGAGCCCCATACCAGGACAAAACAGTTATCCAGTGCTCTCTGGTTTTCAATGCCTCTCTAAATGATGTCAGTCATTGAAGAATATCACCTAGAAATTTTGTATACATCGCAATGTGTAGACAAGAAGACCAGTACAGTCATCGAGTGAAGAGGTTAAAAAAAAGCAGATTATACTTGTCGACTGATTACTGTAACGAGTAAGCATACGAAGGAAACAGTTCGCATGATGTCTCATCTCTTCATTGCAAAGGGTTTCTTCTTCTTGGATGCACCAATGAATGTAAACTTTGCCTTCAACGAAGACTTCTAAAAACAGTTAGATTTGGATTGGTATCAGAAGTTCTGACTAGACAGCTAGTGTGAATATGTAACGCGTCACGAATTCACATGGTAGTTGGGCAAAATCTCGCTTGTGATTGAAGTCAAATAAAAATCTGGTCAGTAGTCGGACCTTGTAGGTCAGTTGGTAAAGCATCGCACCAGAAACCCGGTGGTCGCTGGCTCAACTTCTCATTTAGCCTATAATTATCACCTAGTATTACTATTGCTATTATTTTATTAGGCTTAATTCTACTTCAGACAAAACAAAATGTTCAAGTAGACGATGATTCGGCATAGCTACCTCAATCAGTGAAGGTCTACAACCTTTGTTTTTTAGCGCTTTACACCCAACGTCAGCATTGCTCATGCGGTTATCCTACTGCACTAGAACAATACTACGAAAAGGTCTATAGTCGAACACCTGTAACCCCTTAGTACCTATTTCCAAAGAACATGTCTCACAGCTTCTATGCAGCATATCTTATAGAAGTGGCAAAATTTTGTCAATGCCAAATAGACTTTTATATTCGAGCCAATATTTCCTCATCATTATCTAGATCAACATAGGACCAGACATTACTGTGTAAGGGTCCAAGTTGCCACATCTTATATCGACACATCAAGTAACAAGACAATAAAATGGTAGATGAAGATGGAAAGGAAACTCGGTCAAAAGACGTAGAAGTAGAAAGTGGTGAAAGGGAGGAAGGATGAATGAGATGATGAGATTAGGTAGAGCGGTTAAGATGACGTTAATGTGCGTACATATCTGCGCCAGTGACTTCGGTTCTGAGCCATACCACCTAGAGTCTCCAACCACTAGTTTCTCTTATTCTCTGGACCCCAAACGGTTAGGCTGCAACGCTATACATGGCTCAAATGAATAGTCAACGACCTCATGCATTAATGTCACGTTTTAGACTGGTCATCCACAGCCTTTTTCAAGCTTGAACATACTTTAGCAAACATTGTAAGACGAGGCAGACAGTGGTTAAGCATACGTAACATATATCCCAGGCATTTCAGTCAATGAAGGTTCACAACTGCATCAACTGACTTACCTCTCCTGTCTTCTGCGTCACTCAAGTGGTGACGCCACAAACATGTCCTGTGCTAAGAAGGTAGCCTTCTCATATCTATATTTCACAGCCGTACAATAGAATGCAATACGGTACACTAGACACTTAACAGACAATCGGATATTGTGGCGGCGCTACACATAGCGTAAGTTGGCAAAAGCCAACAGAGCCTTTTGTATCCGTGAAGAGATTTTTTCGGCCACTTACCAACCCACTAGGGTTGATCCGACTTCACAAATACGTAAAGTGTTCAACGCGGTCAACCATTTCACTTTCTATTTTTTTAGTCGGGGCACCGTTGAAGACCCCTTTTAAAGCAATAATTTACACTTGGGTGGCAAGAAACACATCCAAAATATTCTCAAATTGCAACTCAAGATGTCCAGAAGACAATGCCTCTGTACTTCGTCAGTAACCAATCCAATAAAGATGATATGACCCTGCTGGATGATTGCCTAGAACAAAGGACAACTGTGATGAATGTCGGTTAAGCATACAAAATGATTAACTAATGTTGTATGCCAACTTCACCTTCTACTCTGAAATCAATCTATGTCTTCTCGGATCATAAGATTACCTGTACTAACTAACTCAAGCGTGAAACAATGATGAAATAGTCTAAATTCATTCACTTCTAATATCAACAACAATAAACATGAAACAGATCAATTTCATTTGAGGATTTATTGATTTTTAAGTAATTATATTCATCAAATAGTCAACGATGACACTGAGCGATGATCGCGCTATATCTTGAACTAACAGAAGTTAGAAATATCTACCATTGGATTCCTACTGAGTAGTTCAATGGTGATGTGCTGGACATAGAACCTGAAGGTACTGGGTTCGATCCATGGTGGGGTGGGTGGTGGGGTCGTAGGTGCACACTGCTGAGGAGTCCCCATACGAGTGGGACGAAACAGCTGTCCAGTACCCCAACTGATGTCAGTTCATGATGAATACCAACTTAAAAATGAAACAGATCACAAATGTAAAAAGAAAAAAGTAAACTGCTAAGCGCATAGACGACCAACCATTAAAAGATGCAGCTGTACAACAATAGATCGTTTTGACATTGGTCATACGCCTTCAGGATCAGTCATGATAGCCTAGACACACTAACACTAATTCATTATAAACAAATACAAGCTGATGGTTGTTTATCATTGCATAGGAGGCTAAACAGCACTGAACACTTTCCAATTTGATTTCTGTCTTAAGAGTAATCTCTGTAATACAAAAATTTCTTCATCAAAGACGATAGATTCAGTCATACTGTCTACGTTCCCCTTTGTAAGACAAAAATAGCTTAGCTTCAATTTCATTCATCCGGAATTACTATGTGAGCAATGTTGAGGTCCAGCGAAGGGTACTAGAGGAGACAGGTAAGTCAATTGATGAGGTTATGAAGTTTAGTCAATGAAGATGGAATAAACATGTAGTCGAAGATGTACAGATGAAAACTAACAAATTGACAGAAGAGGCAAGGCATCGAAAACGCGACTTCAAGTGAATGTAGAGAAGACAGAGGTGATGAAGATACCCAACCAACAACAAGCATCAATCACCATTAACAGGAGAAACCTCACTTACACCTACCTAGGAAGCATCGTTTCAACTACAGGCAGCACAGGCACAGACGAGGACGTCAAAACCAGGATCGGTAAGACAGCAAAACAGGCCTCCCTGCATCAATCTGAACTAAAAAGTGTAGAGATCTACTGCACTCAGCACAAAGAACAAGGTACGGATTTTCAACACCAACGTCAGTCAAGTCAGTGCTGCTATATGGTTTAGAAACTTGGCGAGTCACGAAAAGTATTCCCAACAAACTACAGACACTTATCAACAGCTACCGCCTACGCTCACTCGATACTGAAGATTAGATGGCGAGAAAGAATAGGCAACAAGGAACTCTGCGAGCAAACCAACGAAGCAATAACCTATCACCCAACAAATATGCACTGGAAGGAAGTGGAGACGAATTGGATTGGCATCTACTGAGAAGGCCGATTGGGGACATCACGCGTCAAACCAGGCCCTCGAGTGAAACCCAAATGGGAAACGACGAGTTGGGCGTACGAGGAGAGGGTGACATGGAGATGGTTTATGGAAGAAATGAAAGCTTCTGGGCAATCGTGCAACCAGGTTGAGAAGACTGCAGAGAAGAGAGTGAAATGCAGACGTGCTAGTGAAGCTCTATGTTCCACTAGGAACCCAAGGGAAAAATAATAGACATGTACTGCGTATACCGAACAACGCCTGCGTCCAAGTTCAATGTTGAGAGGTTGGATTAGATTGGAAGGCAGTTCAGGATAGCGAGACGAAGACGTGGGCACCAGTCAATGAATCCCCTGATTGTTAGCTTAAGTCGTGCAGTGAGATATGGACTACCTACAGTTGGGGTCCTCGAGATGATATGAATCAGTAGTTGACGACTCTTTTTGACATGGTTGGAAGTCGGCCACCATGGCGCAGATGTATTCACTCCTTGATGCCTTCTAAAACCGTTATCTTGAGATAATTTATTCTCTCACACAACTTTATCTACTTTGATATCACTCTTATTCTACCCATTTGTTCACTGTATACTACTGTGAAGCGTGGTAACTTGAGCCAATCCATTTGTGTGCCAAGTTTTGTACTTTGATTTTGTTAGTCAAGTTTCCCTCATTCAGCAATCTCATCCGATATAAACAAAAGGAAGTATACATGAGAGACAAGATCGACGTAGAGTTTGGCATACAAGTGTATCACTTCATGTTGTCATACTTTATAGCAGCATGCAAAGAATAAGTGGATGGAAAAACAATGATATTCAAGTAGACAAAGATGTATGAGAGGAGAAGGAATATAAAAAGCAAGGTTAGTCAAAACTCTGAAGCTTTGGAAGACATCAAAGAGTGAATATATCAGTGCTATTGTGTCCAACTTCCAGTCACATCATCAAGAGTCCTCAAAGACGGATTCTATCGTCTCCCGGGACACCTCTCTACTCGGGACAGATCAACGGACAGACACTTCATGCACTGGTGTTATGCAACTCCAAAAGTGAGTGAGTGAGTGAGTGAGTGAGTGAGTGAGTGAGTGAGTGAGTGAGTGAGTGAGTGAGTGAGTGAGTGAGTGAGTGAGTGAGTGAGTGAGTGGGAATGGTTTAAAGAAAAAAATGTGTAAATAAGCCTACAATTAAACTTCAACATGTAAACATACCTCAGATATCTTCTCAGGAGACGGGATTAATTGAGGATCTTCAAAGGAATGAACAAAAAATCATAACATAACTTCAATGAATTGAATCACTTAAGCAGACTATATGTACTCCATAAGTAATACAATGAAAAAGTATATACAAATCTATACGAATTTGTAATGAAGGTCTAAAATCTTTCCCGAATAACTCCAGATGTTTTAAACAAATGAAAATAAACAGAAACGATTCTTAAAAACCTAACCACGCATAATGAGAATATGAAAATAAATGAAGTTAACATTCCTATTCAAAGTTTCATAAGTTGTGAAAACATGAGACAACAATCTGTTTAGCATAATTCAGAGAAATTTCCAACAATTAACATATCTATTAGAATGGACACTGAGTCAGATCTATGACATAATGTTAGCCTTCCCCAAAAGGTCATCCTACAGAGGTATATGTGAAGCGAAGCATCCGATCAATGCCTAAAACTTTCACATTATATTATTATTTGTCCATTGGGTTCCTAATGGAACATAGACCTTCAGTAGCACGCCTCCAGTGCACCCTGTCCTCTGCAAACTTTTGAACCTGGCTCTACAGCAACCCACAAGCTCTCATTTCTTCCTCGCACAGTCTCCTCCATGTCACCCTCACCTCGAACAACCAACTAGTCGCTTCCCATCTGGGTTCCACTCGGGTGCCTGACCTGGTGCGTGATGTCACCTGTAGGCCTTCTCAGTGTATGCCCAATCCATCTCCACTTCCTTCCGGTGCATATTTATTCAGAGATAGGTTCTTGGTTAGTTCGTTGGCAGGTCAGAGTTCTTCCTTGCTTATTCTTTTCTGGCCATCTGATCTTTAGTAACGGGCCAGCGTAAGCAGTTGCTGACGAATGTCTGTAGTTTGTTGGAAATCCATTTCGTAACGCGCCAAGTTTGTGAAGCACATAGGAGTACTGACTTGACATCGGTGTTGAAAATCTGTATCTTGTTCACGCTTTATGCTGAGTGCAGTGTAGTACATCTCCATACTCGTTTTAGGTTAATGAACGCCTGTCTTGCTGTCTTTACGATCCTGGTCGGCTTTGGCGTCATCGTCTGTGCCTGTGCCACCTGTAGTTAAAACAGTGCTGCCCTACCTAGATAGCTGAAACAGGCTACTTCCTTTACATTTCTCCCGTTCATGGTAATTGGAGCTTCTTGTTGTTGTTGTTGTTGGTGGTGGTGGTGGTGTTGGTTGGGTATCATCATCACCTCTGTCTTCTCTACGTTCACTTGAAGTCCTGTCTTCGCTGCCTCGCCTCTTCTGTCAACTTCTTAGTTTTCGCCTGTACATCTTCAAGTTTGTGTGACATTACACACAAATAATCGTGGGAGAAATCTAAATCTTCTAGGTTCTTTTCCGTGGTCCAGCGTATCCCGCTCTTGTCTCTCCTCACTGTTTGTTGCATGATCCAGTCCACTGCAATCAGGAATAAAACTTTCACATGCTACTCAGTATCCCAATATCCAATGCCACAAAGACCTAAACTGGTTGAAATAATCGTCAGTGAAGATTTTAATCAACCACAAATGTCTAGTGGATAGTGGTGAACCTAAAAACAGTCACTGTCATTGTGTTAACAGCTTGCACTATGGTAGTTGTCCGAAAGTGAAGTCATACAACTGCCTGTGCGCGGTATGACAACAAAGAACTAACATCCCATACTGATGCTGCTTTCCTTTTCCTTCCCGGAAGGGAGAGGCAGGAAATAGAAAACGTCATACTTCTCCCTACACTACGATACTTCACGGGAGCCGAAATAAGTACAGAAAAATTAGAAGTGCACTACATAAGACCACCTATCCAGCTGCTAGACTTATTTCACTGTACCAAACAATATTTTCAATTACACAATCCAACTCTTGTTAACTACAACTGTATTCATCAATTCATACACACATCTAGCAGCTAGTAAGTAGGAAGAATAGATAGGCGATTTGTCTACGAGGATTGCCGACTACATTCAGCAGTGCAATACGCTCGTCAATTATGTGATACGGGACATCAAGTAGATGTGATGAAATCCTTCATAGTAATCGAGAAATAAAAGATTTTGTGTCTACTTTAAATTGTTGAACTCGTCACGAGTTCAACCGGAACTATATGTTTAGAAGGTGACACAGTTACCAATTTCTAATTACCCTGGTAATTGGTGATATTTCACCCTCCTGTCTTTCCCAAAACATTTCCAATATATACTTAATTCATACCTATATTCATAGTAATTATCGTTTCATTATTATTACGATAGTTTTATCTTACCCGCTTATCATTTTGTTAATATTTTCACATGACTATTCAACCGCTTCTACTTACTTCCAATCTTACCTCACTACCTCTTGAACATATTTCACCTTGACTTCTATAACCCCTAATAGATCTGACTCAACTTATTACTAAAGCTTCCTTTTAGTCCTGAATTATCATGTGTTCCCGCTCCATTAAACACTAGTCAGTAGCTTTGAACCCACGGTTTAAGATATCCCAATATTTAATATGGCGATTTATTTGCCTACTTATCCAGGTTGTATGCAGCAGAAAGGATTTTATGAAATAAACGACATCGTCTTGTCCTGCCAACGGTGTTCTCCTTCTGTTATTCAAGATATGATCTCCTCTGACTAGTCGAGATCATTGACTATCCTCTTATGATGACCACAGTGGAATAACTCTGATGAATATACTGCCCAAGATTCCAGGTTCTACAATTAATAGTCCTCAAAGTGGAGCTCGAGAACAACAAATTCGAAAGTACCTAATTTAGTCATGGATGTGATTTTGGAGGTCTCTCTCTCTCTCTCTCTCGTCTGACTCCACAAGTACTCACCTCACTAGAAACTCCTTAGTAGACCTACAGTATGTATATGACATAGTCCTGTTGGATGAAGATGTTGAAAGGATGCATGGTCTTTCGGATACCTTGAGTGGCGAATTGAGAATGTTTGAGATGCATCTCCCACTCCTCCTTCTCCTTGACTTGTTTGGATTGGTGCCTCAATTCAGTCTGAGGAGTGAAGTGATTGACCACGTTAACCACTTCTCTAACTCATGAAATCAAATTGACTCTGAGAGGTCTTTGGTCGACTAAATTTTGGCAAATATATGAATGATAGATTGGTTTTCATCGAATTACGCCATGACACTAGCGTGATATCTGACTGGCTATTAAAACGTGTGTGTGTGTGTTCTTTTTGCCTTACTATACGGCTATGAGTAACGGTCATTAAAGTTTGATGACTTGAGAAAGACCTGTGTGTTCGACCAACGTTGCCTCTCTAGCATTACTTAAACACCATGGAGCCATTACTTTAGTAATGTAAAGGTTAAGCGTAGAGTCAGGTAAGAAGGATAGGTCAGTCAACAAGGCTTACAACATCCATCGACTTACATGGCTGGAGCATATATCGTGTGTGACTACGCTACTGTGAAATGTTAGCTGAAGTAGGTTTAGGCTGAAAAAGACCGAAACCGAGCGAAATAAAGCATATCACCACTATAGGTATAAAGCATTTAGGGAAATGTGGCTCCCCTTCGTTAAGGTTCACAAGAAGACAGAAATCTATAATGAGAGAATTTAGTTGATTTCAGTAGTAAAGATACCACCAAACATTATCTTCGCCTCCATCGCCATATTATATCCCACACTATTTATCTTACCATCCCTTCCTTTCTTCTTACAACTTTCTGATGGAGCTGTGGTTCATTGCTACACCCACCGAGGTGGTTTCGGCAACCAGGAAGTATCATCAGCTGTCACACAATAGGTGTGGTCTATTGTCTACCACAAGAGTGTGCATGTGATTGCTGAGTTGATTTCGATTTTGTTTTCCCTATAACCTTTTATGAATTTATCTCTCCATATTTCACCTTGTTGCCTTGCACCTTCCTGGGGTGATATGAGGTAAGGCGACTTATGTAGTAGGATTACCAGTTTTAATGTTGAAACAGAGTGTAAAAAATAAACCACCACTTAAATGGTCTCAGTGAGCATTGAAACGTCAAGAGTGTAGCAGTTTATCAGATATGCCAAGACCACTTACTAGCAACTGAAAGAGTTTCACCATTACACTGAAGAATATTTTCATTTTGAATGGTTTTAGGATTGTCTTGATCACTTATCGCTGTAGATGATGGCAGATTCAATGATTGTTGAACCTCAGTAGAACTATTCGGTTTTGGAAGAGTTTGGTTTACTGGTTTGGATTTTTGTAGAGATTGCTTAGGAGGCTTTTCAAGTTCTGCATCAGGTGGTAGTAAATTGGACTGTTTTGTATCATCATTCGAAACATCTCCGTGTGCAGACGGTTTGAGGACAGCTTTAGGTCGGTGTTGAGATGGAATACCTTTGCCACCATTTGCAAATGGATTAGACAATTCATCAATTTCATCCCAGTTGACTTTGTAAGCACCCACACCACTAACGGGTCGATCATCCATTGTTTAGAAGAACCTACAATAGGAAACGAAATTGTTAAGCAATCCTCCTTACCATCAATCTTTTTAAACATGGTACTATCAAGAATAGTTGAGAAAAGTCTTGCTAATATCATACTAGTCGAAGTAAACTACTATAATGTATTCAGACTGGATGAAAGGTATCTTCGTAAACCGTAAAGCTAGTGAACAGGAAAGACGAAATATTTCCAGTTTATCCAAACATTTCATGCTTTCTACGGCAAAATAATTACTTTTTACTACATCATGTTCGTATTCGGAATCAAATCTTTGTATAACAGACAATCAGTTCAAGTTTCGTCTAATTCAAGTAATTTTATCATTATTTATTTATCCCTTGGGTTCCTAGTGGAACATAGAGCTTCACTAGCACGTCCGTATTTCACTCTCTTCTCTGCAGTCTTCTCAACCTGGCTCCACAGTTGCCCAGAAGCTTTCATTTCTTCCACAAACCATCTCCTCCATGTCACCCTCGCCTCGACGCCCAACTCGTCGTTTCCCATTTGGGTTTCACTCGAGGGCCTGGTTTGACGCGTGATGTCCCCAATCGGTCTTCTCAGTCTGTCTTAACCAATTCATCTCCACTTCCTTCCAGTGCATATTTGTTGGAGGAGTAGGTTGTTGGTTGGTTCGTTGCCAGATTCAGTTCCTTTTTGTTCATTCTTTCTGGCCATCTGATCTTCAATATCAAGCGTAACCGGTAGCTGTTCATGTATGTCTGCAGTTTGTTGGAAATGCTTATTGTAACGCACCAAGTCTCTCAACCATCACATTGAAGCACTCACTGACGCACTTGACTGACATTAGTGTTGAAAATCCCGATCTTGTTCACACTTTATGCTGAGTGCAGTGCAGTGAAGTGCAGTAGATCTCCACACTCTTTAGTTCAGATCAATGCAGGAAGGCCTGTTTCGCTGTCTTACCGATCCTGGCTTTGACGTTCTTATCTGTGCCACCGCCTGTAGTTAAAAAACTGTGCTGTCCAAGTAGGTGAAAGAGACAACTTCCTTCAGATTTCTCCCGTTCATGATGCTTGTTTTTGTTGCTGGGTGTCTTCATCACCTGTCTTCTCTACGTTCAACTGATGTCCCGTCTTCTCTGCTCTCCCCTGCCTCTTCTGTTAACTTGTTGGTTTTCGTCCGTATATCTTCGAGTTTCCGCGACACAAGACATTAGACATAAATCATCATCGGCGAAATCCGAATCTTCTAGTGTTTTTTTATCGGCCAAACAGCGTACACCCATCTTCTCACAGCTCCTCACAGTCTGTTACATGATCCAGTCCAATGCAGTCCAGTCGACCACAATCAGGAAGATGATCGGTGATGGTAGGTGGCAACCTTGTCTTACTCTTGCCTTCACTTCAAAATTATTACTGAGCTTTCCATTGTCAATCACTTGGTATGCAGCATCATATAGCATACAGGTGTTGTTGCATGAGGTTGATAAACGTCTGTGGCACTAAAGCTATAGTGTTCTGTTCTATGATGATGCGTAGTGTAGCGTTGCAATTTGATGCGCACATGATTCGTTTTTCCAGTTCCGGTAGTAATTTTGAATGCAGAGCATTTTGTAGTCTCTCCGGGAGCATATGGCTTAATATTTTGCTTGGGTGAACTGGAGCACAATTCCTTGCCAGTTCTCGCAAAGATGTTGGTCATCCTTCTTTGCGAGTTTGACAAGGTAGCCCTTCTTCCAATCGGTAGGTACATTTCCTTCCTTCCAAACCTTCTGCAGTAGTGGTGTGAGCATGTCCGCTGCTGCTGTCTCTGCGTCTGTTTTCAGTGCTTCTGGGGGAATTCCATTCGATTCTGCTGCTTTACCGGGTTTTAGTAACTTTATGGCGTTCAGGACTTCGGCTTTTGTTGGAGGGCTTGTGTTCACTGACAGTTTTGTGGCTCCTGATGGTATTTCTGGACGAGTTCCTATTAACGTTTTTTAAAACACAGTAAGCTTGGTGCGAATCATACTCATTGGTTCAATAGTTCACCGACTGCAGCTAGTCTATGACAAGTCATCTCATAGTCGGGTCAGCTCAAAACTTTTTCTTCCTAAAATCTACTTCAGTTAACGTTTCGCGCGATCAGGCACACTAAGACTAGGCAAGCATAACATATGCTTCGACCACCTAAGTCCATAAAGGTTCACAATACATTCAACTGACTTTTCTCAACTGCACACCCAACTTCTGCATTGATTACATGATAGTAGTTCGACACACGAAAGCAACGGCGGTCGGACATCACAGGCCTTTTCAAGTCCTTGACCTTTATTAACATTTTACAGACAGTGGAATCCAGGGCATTGTAGCACAGTATGATTGGTGCCTAATCGGTAATCAGACATCACGGTGGCACCAATAAATTTCGTAAGCTGGAAAAGCCATAAGTCAAAAAACTGATTTAACAGGGATGATCCGACTTCCCGAGTAAGAGAAGTGGTTAACGTGGTCAATCACTTCACTCCTCACACTGAATTGAGGCACCAATCCAAACAAGTCAAGGAGAGGAGGAGTGGGAGATGCATCTCAAACATTCTCAATTCGCCACTCAAGGTATCCGAAAGACCATGCATCCTTTCAACATCTTCATCCAACAGGACTATTTCATATACATACTGTAGGTCTACTAAGGAGTTTCTAGTGAGGTGGTACTTGTGGAGTCAGACGAGAGAGAGAGAGAGAGAGACCTCCGAAATCACATCCATGACTAAATTAAGTTAGGACGAAGCGAGTGAACATCTTTGATAGACACCACTCGACGTATACAGCTAACTTGACACCTCACCATAGATGCGAATATACCTTCGGGTATTCGAATGAACAACCTTCGACAGGGTAATGTATTCATTCTGCACTCATTCAATGACCATGCCGTTGGACGTCTCAACCAAGAGAGCCAAATGTATTCATCACATCGAGAAATATAGTGAGTGTCGGGTGTCAGTAGATGTGCTTGTATTAGGGAACCTGGTGCAGAGTCGATATCTTGTCGATAAAGGCATATCGGGGCTTCGAAATTGCCTGATATCCTCAAGTTTGCCGTCCCCTAGTTCAACTTTTAGATCTATTATTAATAGGACCTAGAATCTCGGAAACTAAATTCGTCACACCGACTCCCGTATGGTCATCATAGGAGGACAGTCAGTGACTGGGATTAGTCAAAGGTCATATCTGGTTCCCATACGCTACCTAGCGCTTCAGTTAACCTGACCAGTAATTTGCAACCAGCGTCCTTAAATACCACCATCATCGATTTAGTCGTCTTCTGCTAGTAAGACCAATTCATCTCCATTATAGTCTTACTAACCATTGATCTTGCTCAGTCACCATCAGTACTTCCACCTATCGCTGCTACCTTTCCCATTTCTGTAAAGCCTTGTTCCCCAACACACGGGTTGTGGTCATTGCATAGGCTACTTGCAAGTCAACATTAGAGCTGTTTCCACGCCTAAATGTACTCGGAGCCTGTTTGAATGCGTTCACGAGTGTCGATTACCTTTTTAAGGAGCTTGTGAGACCCACTGACTCTTTCTCACCCTTTTATGAGCAATAGTAAAGGTATTCCACTTTGGTTTTGCAGCAGACTGGAGATGATGCCAGGCTTTCTCAAGATGAGTGATGTTATCCCGCTTCAATAACCATTCAGTCACTTCCTTGTTGAAGGCAATTGTACCATGAATCTGTGTTCAAAGTGGTTTTGCTACTGTTATTTTTCTACGTCGATTAAGGTGCAGAGATAGGCACGCTCAAACAAGCATGTGATTACTACCCAAAAGCCTGCTTTAGAAGAAGCAGGAATATTTCACCGACCATCTCCAGCGATAGCTGATGGCAGTATGGTCTATCTGTGTCGACCGTTGATTTGAGGCTAGTGGACGTTTCCGTATATGTTTGAAATTCATGTTAGTCGCGATAGATGGTTTTCGGAGCACAGTTGGAGCAGACGACCGTCTTTTTGCAGGTGTCATCGAAGTACCTTGTCACCTTGCTATGTTTAGCCATCCGACTTGCGCATTGAAACTTTCAGCCTCTACTACCAGACGGAAGTGTTTAGCTCAGAATAAGAAAGCAAACTGCCTTCGGTAGAGTTCATTCTTCACTCCGACTGAACTGCAGTCAGTAGGTGTGTAAGTGGAGGTTACAGAGACAACGATGTGTTTCACCAGTTCCGTTGGTCTCAGATATAGTACTCTATGGAATAGAGCACATCCTATTGTCAACTGATATCTAGCTGAGCAATGCTCTTCTGCTTTAAAACACAACGGTATATCTTCATAGCTTGCAACACCATGAGAATTAGTCATGGAATCTCGAGAACCTCGGTGAGCGAATTCACCAAATTGGCTTGGTGATGTTTAGTAAATAAAGACACTTCGATCCTGTGTAGATGTTTGACAAATACGCGACACATTGGTGACACAAGATGCCAGTCAGCGAAGCATGCTAGGTGATTTTATGGAGTTTAGATATTGTAAGCTGGAAGCAGTTGAATATGATGAGGGGATATTTACAGAGATTCGAGGAAGGATTAAAAGGCAAAGATATTGGTCGGTAATGATATGGGGGGACCTGAGTGCTGACAGAGTTGTGGCGGTGGCTGACACTTCCTGGTGTTTCACACCGTGGAAGGTTACTTGTTCTTAAGGTGCCTGAAAAATAAATTGTACTAGTAGCAGTGATATGTGACTGCAGGGTTGAAGAGAAATCTGTTTGTGACCAGTCACTCATGGCCTTTTTGGTAATATACGGTTTATAGTTGGATGGGTTTCACTGGAAGTGAGGAAGACGTATTTCGCCGACCATGGGGTATTACAGTGTAGAGAGAAGCATGACACTTTTTGGGTTGGTGTTTTCTATTTAGTTCGGACAACTATCATATTGCAGGCTATTAATACAATGACAGTGACTGTTTCTAGGTTCACCACTATCCAACAGACATTCGTGGTTAGTTAAGATCACAATGGACAACTATTTCAATCATTACAAGTGCCTTG